CAGTGCAAAGAGGAAGCCATTTCTAAGCAAGCTCCACAAGCTCCGACATTTGCACTGGGCCAGGGGTCATTTAAAATGGAGTGTGGCAAAATGGAAGACTGTTCTGTGGTCAAATAAGTCACGATTTGAAGTTTTTTATGGAACAATGGGACGCCATGTCATCCGGACCAGAGAGGACAAGGATAGCCCAAGTTGTTATCAACGCTCCATTCAGAAGCCTGCATCACTGATGGTATGGGGTTGCATGAGCGCTTGTGGCATGGGCAGCTTGCATGTCTGGAAAGGCACCATTAATGCAGAGAACTATGTTCAGGTTCAAGAACAACATATGCTCCCATCTAGACGTCATCTCTTTCAGGGAAGACCATGCATTTTTCAACATGATAATGCCAGACCACATTCTGCAGCAATCACAACATCATGGCTACGTAGAAGGAGGATCCGGGTACTGAAATGGTCAGCCTGCAGTCCAGATCTTTCACTTATAGAGAACATTTGGCGCATCATAAAGAGGAAGGTGCGACAAAGAAGGCCCAAGACGATTGAACAGTTAGAGGCCTGTATTAGACATGAATGGGAGAGCATTCCTATTTCTAAACTTGAGAAACTGGTCTCCTCTGTCCCCAGACGTCTGTTGAGTGTTGTAAGAAGAAGGGGGGATGCCACACAGTGGTAAAAATGGACTTGTCCCAACTTTTTTGGGATTTGTGGACGACATGAAATTTGGAAACAACAGATTTTTCCCTTAAAATGATACATTCTCTCAGTTTAAACTTTTGATCAGTGATTTGTGTTCTATTCTGAATAAAATATTAGATGTTGGCACCTCCACATCATTGCATTCAGTTTTTATTCACAATTTGTTTAGTGTCCCAACTTTTTTGATTGAGTTGATTATAAGATGACTTGGAAAACAGTCAAATGAGTTGATGCCAACAGTTATTGGCAAAATTTATGAGAAACTCTCCTGTGGCCACCATTTTTATCAAAGTTAACTTAAACGGTTAATCCATCAAATATGTACACCCAATGATTACTTTTAAGAGTTTATTTAAAATCTATTCACAAATGTTATGAGTTATTTGCTAACAGAAAGGCTAAAGAACACATACACAGTAAACAAATTTCAGAATTTTTGATAAATAAGTCAAGTCGACTATATTTATAGAGCACATTTAAAACAGAACCTGTTATCAAAGTGCTTAACAACAATCAATGGGAGTAAAATTAAAGAGAAAAAAAATACAATATACTAATAATAACTGAAGAATTAATAAACATTTAAAACATAGGATCACAGAACAAAAAACACTAAATCAATTTGCACTGTGTGAAATGCCTGCGAGAACAGATGTGTTTTTAGCAGGGATTGGAAGGGAGGAAGGGAGGTGGCCTGCCTGATGTTGGGGGGCAGGTTGTTCCAGAGTTTGGGGCCCATGACTGAAAAAGCCTGATCTCCTCTGAGCTTCAGTCTTGTTTTTGGAACAGCCAAAAGCAGCTGATCGGATGATCTCGGGGCCTGAGAGGAAACGTAAGGTTCCTGGAGCTCAGAGAGGTAAAGGGGTGCGAGGCCATTTAAACATTTTGAAGGTCAACAGAAGAATTTTAAAGACTACCCTAGTACAAACAGGGAGCCAGTGAAGGGAGGACAGAACTAGTGTAATATGTTCAGACCTACAAGTTCCGGTTAAAAGCTGAGCAGCAGCATTCTGGACGAGATGAAGACGTGAAATGGAGGCCTGGCTGACCCCAGCATACAGTGTGTTGCAATAGTTCAATAGGAAACCCCACAGCGTGAGTCTCAGCTGGACATGCCGGTTCTCCAGGACCTTGTCGTTTTGATGAAAAAATCTTATCAATAGAGTTGAACGCCCACAATACCAAATCCATAATCTTCTTAATTTATGTTCGGGAGATGAGACCCAGGCGCTTCAGACAGACAGAGAGCAAAGCAGGAAGAAGGAAAAAAAAACGGGGGAGGAGAAACACAAGCTGCCACCTCGATCAGAGCCTGGGAGGAAAAAACATTGCATCAGACTCAACATTTGTTTGTGCATTATAGAGACGCCTCTGCAGGTCGCCCGTTATCTACCTAGCGTTTGTCACACTGGCTGTGTGAGGCCATTTCTGAAGCCTACAGAGCATCAGATTTAGAACCTCCTGACAACCTCAGGGCACACTCGACCAGAGGTATCGCATCTTCGACAGCTTTGCATAATGGCATGATATTGTAGGATATATGCACTGTGGCCGCGTGGTCAACACCCTGTTCATTAATTCGCTTTTATTTACGTGATGTGTCGGCTCATTCCATGACGCATTCTGTCCTTAGTGCCCCAACAGAATGAAGATTATTGTTTTCATGGAACCTCGGTTAAACTCTCATCTGACTGCATGCATTACAGTGTGAGATGTTATCAGTCACAGGTTGTGACTGCTGTTCTTTGTTCTATTGTCATTAATCAGTTCATGAATATTGTCATCAATCAGTTCATCTGAATAATAATCAGTTAATTTATTATTAATCTGTTCATATTGAAGAGCCGTGGATCTGCTCTGTTCACGGCCTTTTTCAGCCTCTCCTTTTTTGCCCTTTGAAAAACTTTTTTCCGGGGCGTTCATGCATGCGGAATGCATAAATGAAGCAGCGCGCGTTTGTGCATGGTGCGCGTAATTACGCAATGCGTTTTTACACATATGGAGAGCTGAGTGACAAAATGTTTTTTTGGGCAAGCGGGTGCTTCAGATGGTGTTCGAATGGACCCAGTGAGGCGGAAATCACATTCTGCTTCGCCTTTTAACCCACCATTGACAGCTCTTAAAAGGCGAAGCCTATACGAAATAGAACGTTGGTTACGTACTGTAACCCCAGATTCTATGAGTATAGGCATAGCCCTTTAAGCGTCGGGCCTAACTGGCTCCTAAATGGCTGAACAAAAAAGCTATTTGGGAGCCGATTACCCGCTCTTAACGTAATTTATACAGATCGGTTGGGGCCCACACAACAGGTGGGCGTGGACTAAACTTTTCAGTGCGACGCTTTGCGTGACGGGATAAACCTACCAGCGACAGCTCTTGGAGGGCTACGCCTATACTCATGTAGCGCTTCCTTTATCCTCTCCCACTAGGATAGCGCCCTGAGTTCAACTATTCTATTTTATATTACTTCCCTAGGTAGACTTTCAACTCATACTTTTTATATTTACACCAACCCAAATAGGAAACCCAAATAATCAAACAATGTATCTCATCACTCTCTAATTTATTAAGACCGGGGGAAAACTATATGCAATATTCAAAACAAAAATGAAATAAAATTATTGAGAGATCAGTTAAGCTTAATTTCTTTAGACAAAAAGCATATCAGTTAAACACAATTTTAATTTTACAACCACATTCTGTCCTTTAAATAAATCAAAATTGTACACTCCTCAATTTTTCTTCAATTTAAACCATTAAATTTTTACAGTGCATTTATAAGAACTCATTAATTTGTGGATCCACTTTTGTTATTAAATGCAAACCCCCAAATAAAATTCAGCGCTGTTTATCTGTTCAAAAATTATCAAGTGAATGTAGATTAACCCCCCACGTTGCAGGCCTGGACGACGCTCGGGAGCGGTGGGGCCAATTACAGTGTAACCCGATAATTCCAATGTTTGACAAAAAGATGCGAGTACTCACTCAACCTCCAAGTATTTTCTGTGTCCGTGTGTGTCACCTCTTGACGTTATGTGGCACGGATCCAGCAACCTCCACATAGACGGTCAGCACAACGGTCCAGTCTCCCTCATTGACAGATTGACAGAAATCCTTGCAAGCTTCCCCAGTCACCTGAGACACTCATCTGGTTTCACCTGCGTCTCACTCCCACACCGGTCTGACGTCACTGCACCGCAGTCTCACTACAGCCGCTGTTGTGAGCTCAAAAAAAGAATCATTTTTGATCGTTTCTCATATGGAGCACACTTTTACTATCTTGGTAAAAGAACATCAAAATAAAAAAACTACTGGACAGATGACTACATAGCCAGAACAGCTCAAATCAAACATGACTGTCAGAAAAAAAAAATCCTACATAAGCCCCATCTGTTCAGAAAGTGGTCAAATAAGTTTTCCCAATGATGATAAATTTCAGCAGGGCTACACACATAGAATCTGGGGTTACAGTACGTAACCAACGTTTTTAGACTAATCAAATAATTAGTCAAACAAGAATACACTTATGCAAACACACAAGTCACCTTCAGAAACACCGAGGCTTTCTACTTTCCCCTTTTCCTCCCGTTAATTAAAAAAGTAATTACTTCCTGCTTGTATATAATCACTCGGATCATCCTTTTACAAAACAATAATACAAGTCTCTCACTTATATTTTTTATATACATAATACCAACACTGTTGTAAATATTTTGGGAATATTCAAAACTTCAAGTGCCTGTTTTTTTTAACCAGGGGCTACATTGATAAGATAGAAAGGTGCTTTATAAGTAAAGTCCATTTATCATTAAACTGTTGCTCATTGTAATAGCAACAGTTAGTCTCCATTTTATTTTATACATTATGATCGGGATCTATCTTGTTTTCGATATCTAACATGCGTCTTATGTATGTTCTAATATAAAACTGTTGCATATCCACATGACTGATAGATAAATAAATATCCTTTCATCATCTCTATTCAAATAAGCCACTCTGAGGACATGAGAAGTTTTGTATGAGGAAGCTTTCACAGATGTACAAAGTTACATGCTTTGTGCCTCGTCTGTGAGAATCTGCGCCAGTGAGGCAGGAAATGCTTTATAATACATGCTTATCAGACAGACGTAAGGTCAAAATGACTTTGACTTTCTATCTTACAGACTTGGAGAAGGCCTTGGAGTTTATATAAAGCTACTTTAATTGTAACTGCATTTTTACTGTAGTTTATTGTTATTGTTGTATTTACTTTATATGTTCTGTCTGGAACAGGTCTTTCTTGTAAATGAGTCCTCGTAACTCAATGAGACTAAACTGTATAGTTATTATTATTACTATTATTAGACCTTTATTTATACAGGTTAGTGGTTAGTTCACAATGAACCTCGAAGACTCATTTACAAGAGAGACCTGTTCCATACAACATACAGACAGATGAGAAAAAGAGAACACGAGGATGGAGGAAGCCAAAAAAAAAAAAAAAAAAAAACATGTTTCACGCTATGTCCTGGCTGGGAAACAGTATAAAAGATGCAAAAAAAGACATTGCATCATAAATCTGCAACATACCTGTACAATGACGTCCTAATACATTCATGCATAGAAGGTCAACAAAGCCAGTGAGTTATCCATTAACACTCCAGTAAGTTCCAAAGTTCTGATAAGATGGTACAGTGTCTATCAGCATCATGGTTCTGATAAGGCCACAGATGTTCTTTTGGGGTAGGGGTGGGACGGTGGGAGAGTAGGGGTGGGGGGCAGAGCTTCTAGTTTATGTGTACTCCAGGAGCAATTTGAGATAAGTTGACCTGTCCAAGGCCAGCAGGGAGGCTAAATTCAGATAGACAATTGTTTGGGCCACCAGACTCCGTTTTCTGTCCGTCTTCAAGTTCTGCTGGTACACTCAATGAATCCAAACAGCCAGAATTAGTGGACACTCTGCTCAGTCTGTGCTCCATTTAGCATTCTCCAAGACTGAATCCTTCATGCTGGCATATGGTAATTTGACAATGGGATGTCGAGTTCCAGGAGCTGCAAGTGGCCTGTGATTCTAAGAATTGCGTCCACCTTGGGGTTGAGCTTGGTAAATATGAGTTTGAAAGCTCAAGGTTAATAAAGGTTCAGTGGAAAAAAAAAGTTTATCAGGTGTGTCTCCGTGTGCCTACAGGCTCTTCTGAGTAGCCAAACCTCACCTCAAAGACCTCACACACAGTTCAACATTAATTTAACATTTGTTAGTGATAACATTCATGAACTTTACCTAAATTCCTCTGACAAAGACATCCTCACAGCAGTAATGTCTGTGATATTTCCTCTGATATTTAATTGTTTACTAGTTTTAAAGATGGAGAATTCACTGGTACTTCTCCAGTTCCTTCTTCTCTTGGATGATTAGAACTTTTGCCTGCTCTGTAGCTTCATTCAGTTTTATAACTTTGGGGAGGCTGAGATGAGGTAGAGGCAGGACAGTCGACTAGGGACCCGAAAGCCCCACCTCGATCCCCAGCCATTCCCACATGTTGTTGTGTCACTGAGCAAGACACCCAATCCCCAATTGCCCCCCGGGCGCCTTCACAGCTGCCCACCGCCCCACCCGAGTGCATCCCAGGTGTCATGGGTTAAATGCAGAGAACTACTTTTGCCCTTATGGGAACATTCAATGATGACAATAATAATACTTTATTTATTTATTACATTATTATAAATACCTTACAGTCACATGTCCATGTGGACTGTTTTCTTTTCTGTTTTCTCAACTGTCTTGCCTGTCATGCAATGTCTGCATTTTTTCTTTATTAGGTGTTAACAAAAACATTAGTTTCTTTCAGCTTTCATCCCTGTTTAAATAATTGCTTCTTTTGTTTTCTGTTAATAAAGTGAATAACAGTTTTTCTTTTTTCGTTTTTTTTTTTTTTTTTTTTTTTTGCGAGAAGGTGACAGGCTTCAGTCCTGATGCTCTCTAAATGTATATCCTTGTTTTCATTAAAGACAGTCACTTGTTGTTCTAGGGAGAGTAATTCATGCTCCAGAGGTTTTCTGCTTTCTGCTGCTGTAACATTTGAATCTGATCGATGAGTGGTGTCCAATCCACTTATTGTCACATCATTCATTCATTCTGGAGTATTGTTCCAAGTCACAAACTCAGCATTCTGAAAGAACTATCATTTTCCTGATTTTGTCTTTTAAGATCTCTTATCTCTCTCATTAAGAATCACTTTTTGCTGTTTCGAGATGTTAGTCATTTCTTCAGACAAAAAGTTAAGAGACTTCTTTAGATCTTCCAGTTCATATTTATTAACATTTCTCTTTGGTGGCATTATGATAACTGTTTAACCGAGAAGGTATCAGTCATGTTCAAAGGAAGCCTGGGCCTTGTGGAGCTTTATTCTCTAAATTTATCACATTGCTTTTAATTTTTCTCCTGGTTAGAACTATTTCTATTGTGTTGAGCTTTTTTCATTTTCAAGTTTTAGGAGTAAGATAAACTTTAAACATCATTTATTGTTGCATATTTGTGGAGAAATTATCAATTTTTATTCATATATAATAAACTTCACCTTTTCTGTTTTAGTTCATGTTTCTGTCACAGTACTAACTACTTTATGTGAACAGTTTCCATTAAACCCAGTTTGATCCTGGAACCCAGCTGGTCTCAGATCTTCAGAGGTGAGACAGTCACTCTCAGATGTCAGATCCATGGAGGAGGAACTCAGTGGACGTATGGATGGAGAACACCCAACAGAAACTCTTCAACGTCCAGTGAATACAGGATCAACAGAGTTACTGAGTCTGACAGTGGAGAATACAGATGTTGTGGTAGAAGAGGCTATCATCAGACAGACTGGAGTGATGCCTTCAGACTCTCAGTGTTACGTGAGTCAAATTGTTCTTCATTCATACTGAAATGAGTAAACGGCACTCAAGAGTATAATTTCTTTAAAATGTAAAAAAGTAGGCAAACCTTTGTAAAGAAATTTATATTATTTCTTATGTTAGTGGAAAAAACAAAATTCAATGAAAACTTAGTTTGGTCATGAAAACAGTCTAATGTGTTTTATCAATCATTAATTTCTGTTTTGGTTCCAGAAGATAAACAATCAGGAGATGATGTGATCATTTTAATAAGTTTTAAGTTGTTGACGATTTAATGTGTTTGTTTGTTTTTTATCCAAACTCTGCAGCAGATGAACCCAGAGCCACAGTGAGTTCAGACAGAAGCATCATCCCAGCAGGAGACAGAGTTAGACTGAGCTGCTCTGTGGTCACATCTGAAGGTTGGAGCTTTGACTGGTTCAGACGAGAGTCAGAATCTTCTCCGTCCATAAAATACAATAAACCAGACAGAGTCACAGAGGGAGGTCTGTACAGCTGCAGAGGAGGAAGAGGAGATCCAGTTTACTACACACAAACCAGCTCTGAAGTCACCATTTATAAAACTGGTGAGTTCAATTTATTCTGAAGTGAAATAATTTACTCGTCTGAAACATGAAACACATCTGTCTGTTTGATGAAACTTTTGTGTCACTTTTAATTATATTATTTCTTCTTACATTTTCACCTAACAACTGTTCAATAAATCAAACTTGATGTCAGAAACTAAACAAACATCATGTTACTTTATATGTTGATATGAGTATTTGTCTCTTTTTTCAAAACAGTTCTTCTCAGTTTTGAGACCACATTTTACTTTAGATGTTAATTATTAAAAATAGCAGTCATTTTATTTCAGTTATTGTTTCAGTCAGAGTCAAAACTATAATTATTTTTTTTTTTTATGTGAACAGTTTCCATTAAACCCAGTGTGATCCTGGAACCCAGCTGGTCTCTGATCTTCAGAGGTGAGACAGTCACTCTCAGATGTCAGATCCATGGAGGAGGAACTCCGTGGATGTATGGATGGAGAACACCCAACAGAAACTCTCCAACATCCAGTGAATACAAGATCAACAGAGTTACTGAGTCTGACAGTGGAGAATACAGATGTTATGGTAGAAGTGGCTATCATCAGACAGACTGGAGTGATGCCTTCAGACTCTCAGTGTTACGTGAGTCAAGTTGTTCTTCATTCATACTGAAATAGGTAAACAGCACTCAAGAGTAAAATGTATATATAATGTAAAAAGAAGACAAACTTTTGTAAATTACAATTTTTCTTAGGTTAATGCAAAAATACTATTCAATGAAAACTTGGTTTGTTCAAGAAATTTATTGTCATGTTACAATCAAATTGATGAATTATCCGAAAGACGTCTTAAACATCCATCTGTCCATTATCTTTTACCCGCTTCTTCTGTTTTGGGTCATGGGGGTCGCCGTTGCCATTGTCCAGCAATCACTGTGTGAGGGGCGGGGGACACCCTGGACAGTTCGCAAGTCCATCACAGGGACACATGGAGACAAACGAGAAAACCATTCACACTCTCACTCACATCTATGGACAATTTAGAGTTACCAATCAGCATAACATGCATGTTTTTGGTCTGTGGGAGGAAACTGGAGTACCCGGAGAAAACCCATGCATGAACAGAGAGAACATGCAAACTCCACCCAAAAAGCCCCCCGTACCGGGATTTGAACCGGGGACCTGCTCGCTGAGAGGCAGCAGCTCTATCATTTGCACCGCCATGCTGCCCTGTCTAAAACATAAAATATGTTTTTTATAAAAGATCAGAATAAAGAAAAAACAACTTAAAAAATTAAATGAAATAAAACGTGTCATGGACAACACAATGGCACAACTGGTAGAGCTGGTTAATTCACCTGTCTAAATAATCAGAATCAGAATAAACTTTATTGGCATTGCACCGAGATACAACGAGAATATGTACGTACAGTCGTCCGAAAGATGGGTGGAGTGCACGAAGCTGCGGCTATTAAATAGTGTGGCCCTCTTATTCTTATTCAGAATAATATTTTGCTTAGACGAGAAAAGGAAAGAAAACATGAGGAGAGAAGGTTTTAAAAAAAATCTCTCACTTCGTGTCCTAGACAGGGCACAATTTGAGGCATAAACTTTGTTGTTTTCAAAACATTCCAGGAGGAGTTGAGATAAGTCCGGCGTCAAGGCCACAATTTGGGTCAGGCAGAACTCATGAATTGTTGTTTCTGCCTTTTAAAGTCTCGCTGGTATATAGTCTTCTGATGGAAACTCCAAAACAGCCGAATTGATCCTTTATGCCAAAAGTCGAGCTCACAGCATTCTCCAAGATTATTCCCACCTTCATATGTGCTGCTAGAGAGTTCACAGTCCTGATAACAGCTGCTCCAGCTCCCTGCAGCAGCTCTCCAAAAATCAGTCTGAGCACTGTCGAGCTTCGACACATCCACACAAATTTGTAGACAATCCAAGATTTCACCAACCCAAACAGTAGAATCTAGTTGTCATCATGAATCCAATTTGTTTCCATCGAGGTAAGAGGGTCCTCCTTACCCTGACTCCTGTCGGGAGAAGTTGATCGATTTTTTTTTTTGTTGAGAGACTAGCTGATCCTCCCAATTAAGAGGTATGCAGGAAAAAAAGAGGCTTTTTAAGGGTTCACATGACGAAAGAATGCAAGCAGGGAAGTACGGGGGGGAGGGGGGGTATGGAGCGCCAGGGAACACGTCTGTCTTCACCGGAGTGCATGGGTGGGTGGGGGGGGGGGGGAATGAATGAAAAATAAAGTATTTTTAACGTTTTTGTCAAAATATATTAAGATCAGCTCAGACAGTTAAACCTCGGATTCAGGAGGAGCAGTGCAGTTTTCGTGCTGGTCATGGAACACTGGACCAGCTCTACACCCTCAGAAGGATCCTGGAGGGTGCGTGGGAGTTTGCCCAACCAGTCTACATGTGCTTTGTGGACTTGGAGAAGATGTTCGACCGCATCCCTCAAGGAGCCCTACGGGGGTACTCCTGGAGTATGGGGTACCAGGCCCTTTGATACGGGCTGTTAGGTCCCTGTACGACTGGTGTTGGAGCTTGGTCCGCATTGCCGGCAGTAAGTCAAGCTCGTTCCAGGAGAGAGTTGGACTCCGCCAAGGTTGCTCTTTGTCACAGATTCTGTTCATAACTTTTATGGACAGAATTTCAAGGTGTTGAAGGGATTCATTTTGGTGGCCTTAGGATTGCGTCTCTGCTTTTTGCAGATAATGTGGTCCTATTGGCTACATCAGGTCGTGATCTACAGCTTTCGCTGGAGAGGTTTGCAGCAGAGTGTGATGCGGCCGTGATGATCAGTTCCTCCAAATCCAAGGCCATGGTATTGAGCCGGAAAAGGGTAGAGTGCCCTCTCCAGGTCGGGGAGGAGGTCCTGCCCCAAGTGCATGAGTTTAAGTATCTTGGGGTCTTGTTCACAAATGAGGGAAAAATGGAGCAAGAGATCAATAGGTGGATAGGTGTGGTGTCTGCAGTGAAGCAGGCACCAGTCTGTTGTAGTGAAGAGAGAGCTGAGTCAAAAGGCGAAGTGCTCAGTTTACCGGTTGATCTATGTTCCTACCCTCGGTTAGGATGCCTCCTGCACTGTAAAAATTGTGGCCCTGCTTAAATTAAAAAAATTGATGTCCATTTGTTGCATCTAATATATTAGACTCCACAGAATCTAAATAAATTGTTTTGGTACAACATGACTATTTAATATTGACTCAAACCATATTACTCTACTTGACCCAATATTAATTCTTCACCTTTATCCAAGTTAAATAATTTACATTTTAGTTTTTGAACCAAACTAATATATTTAAATTGAACCCATCTAATATATGTAAAAATTGTGGCCCTGCTTAAATTAAAAAAATTGATGTCCATTTGTTGCATCTAATATATTAGACTCCACAGAATCTAAATAAATTGTTTTGGTACAACATGACTATTTAATATTGACTCAAACCATATTACTCTACTTGACCCAATATTAATTCTTCACCTTTATCCAAGTTAAATAATTTACATTTTAGTTTATGAACCAAACTAATATATTTAAATTGAACCCATCTAATATATATACCTAGCATAAATTAATTCATTGGCACCATGAAAGTCTTCTTTTTTAAAATGTCATAAACTTGGTGTCAAACAATCTGCATCACTCACATCACACTTAACACACTCCAGCAACATTTTTCTTATAAGCCATTTATTCCTCAAGTAAAAAAGGACAAAAAAAGTTGCATGTTCAGACAAACAAATATAAACATGTCATTGTTGATCAGAGCAATGACATAAAGACAATATGGCTTATCAAGCAAAATTAAATGGACAGAAAGCATTCACTATTGTTGTACTGTTCAAACACATCTGAACTTGAAGGAATGTTGCATCTCTAAACATCATGAAAGAACTAAAATTCCAACAAAAGCACTCCATGAAAGTGACCACCTGAACATGTATAACAAAGTGCTGTGAGGTGGTCTACCTCTTAAATAGATGCCAGTGGCAACTACATGCACACACATTAAGCACACACTTAAATATACACTACTGTGCAGTTTTGAGTTCACCACTGAGTTTGCGAATCTTGGAAGTCATCTTGTTGGAACCAAGCTCCATCAGGATCTTCTGAAGGGCCTCAAAGGTGAACCTGAAACCCTGTGGATACTCCATGTTAAGAGCATAGCAAAGTCCAAAGAGCATTGCCACTCCAGCTGCAAGAGAAGGCAACTCATTGAGGACTTCCACACCATCAATGACAATCCCAACGTCTTGGGGCTGCTGTAGAAGGCTTGAATTCTCTCTGAAGACGAAGACTGCCATGATGGTCCTCTCCAGCTCCTGCTCGGCTTGATCTTTCTGGGAGACCTGAGGCAAAATATACGAAATATGCAACTGAACAACTGCAGTATGGCACACCTCATTAATCACTATATACTGTATAATGGCATAGGTGACACATTGCAGACACATTGTGCAACGGACGAAGCTCTCCAAGCACTTCTTCTTCTTCTTCTTCTTCTTTTATGTTTAATGGCGGTTGGCAAACAACTTATAGGTGCATTACCGCCACCTTCCAGACTGGAGTATAGATTAGATGTCCTATCACTATATTCTCCCCATAATGCCTGACATCTTGAGAAACCTAAAAATGCTGTTAAAAATTATATTTTCAGAAGATCTTTGCAGCAAATTTTTAACATCTAAATTGATTTTATTACTGTTCATCTCTCTAATTAACAACTCTCTTTCCCGGCTGTATTTACTACATTCTAGAAGAATATGCTGCACCGTTTCTGACTCTCCACAAAAATTACACAAACCTGTACTATGTTTATTAATTATTTTCAGCGTACTATTCAGCCCCGTATGCCCAAATCTTAGTCTAGATATAATATCCTCTTCTCTTCTATTTCTACCCAAGCACTTCTCCCCAACGTCTTCTCACGTGACTCAGATTGAAAATATGACATCATTTCCTTTCAGCATGTTTTGAGAGGAACCAAAATATTTGCTTTCTTCCCATCAAAAGTGTTATTGATTCAGTCTGAATCAAAATTGAAACCTCAGAATGCAAAAAAATAGACTTTCACAACCAAGTCAATTATTGTACATTGTATTCAATAATAGTTTTTAGCTTGAATGAACAACTCTGTGCAAAACTTTTTCCAGTGTGGACGCCTCCCTGGTGAGGTGTTCTGGACACGTACCACTGTGAGGAAACCCAGAGGAAGACGCAGGACATGCTGGATGGACTGTTTTTCAGCTGGCCTGGGAACACCTCGGGATTCCTCCGGAGGAGCTGGCCCAAGTGGCTGGGGAGAGGGAAGTCTGGGCCTCCCTACTTAAGCTGCTACTCCCACGACCCAATCTCAGATAAGCGGAAGAAAATGGATGGATGATGGATGGATGGATGGATATTAACATCAGTTACTGTTGTAGTACTCAAGACCTGTCTTGGTCTTGAGACCGGTCTCAAGACCACTTTTTGATGGTCTTGGTCTTGTCTTGGACTCGACCGCATTTGGTCTCAGTCTTAGACAATGAGGACTTGGGATTTTATTTCAAGACAACAACTGTGGAAATATCACAAAATTGCCAGGATATCGTCCAATTTTTTTAACATCTTTGTTTATATTGGATGCAAAACATTCTGATTCAAATCCAAGTGATAATGTGACTCATTGCTAAAAACATGTTTTTGTTACCGCTGTCACGTCCACCCCCTTTCACTCGCATGTGGCTCTGTACCAACAGAACAATACAGACAACAGAATGTAACGTCGCAACAAGGGGTGAAAGTAAGCCGGTACGGTCCGGTACTGCGTTCCACTAAAAGAATCTGCACCGGTACTCAATACCTGGAAGAGAGGGGTGGGGCTGTCTGCTGTAAAGCCTCATTCAGAACCAGTCATGGCTTCACTTTGGGCCAGAATAGAATCTGTAACAATAAGCAGTCTAAAACACAACTTAATCTGTTAATAAAAAAACTTTTTTTTCCTCACTGAAAATTATTTCTGAACTCTTCGTGCTATACTGGAGCTTCGTTTCTCTATCGAGGTGAAGTTAGTCTTACGTTGGACATTGAACATAAGGGCTCCGTGCCTTCAGCAGTGTGTTCCTCTCGTTCGATCCGAAGCAGGCAATCTGATTTCGATCAGCTGCGACCAGTCTGCCCCTCCTCCGAGATGTAATGGTTCGCTTAGAAACAGTCAACAAATTACCGAAACAAACACTCTTCAGAAACAAAAATTAATATATTTTACATCATTTGACCCACTGACACAAAACTAATGTTAAACTACTCTCATAAACCTGACACACAATACACCATTTATTTCTCATATTAAAGAATTTTCTAATTAGTTATTGAGTGAAAGCCATGATTTTTGAACAAATAAATCATGTAAAATGAGAAAATGCTTTAAAATTAGAAATAAATGCAGGTGCGTCGTATGTCAGATCTGGCAGATTAGTTTAACATAAGTTTTGTGTAGGTGGGTCACATGACATGAAAATTATTGTGCAAAAACCACTGAATGTCTGATTTCTTTATGTAGCTTTGAAAACTTATAAAAGCTGATACATTCATTCAAAAGCAAACTTAAAGTTGCAGCATGAAATTTTTATAAAAAAATGTTTTAATAAAAGTTACTTTTTTTTTTTTTTTTTACATATTTGTTAAAATGGGCAGCACGGTGGCGCAACTGGTAGAGCTGCTGCTTCTCAGCGAGCAAGTCTCCGGTTCAAATCCTGGTCCAGGGGCCTTTCTGGGTGGAGTTTGCATGTTCTCTCCGTGCATGCGTGGGTTTTCTCTGGGTATTCCGGTTTCCTCCCACAGACCAAAAACATGCATGTTAGACTGATTGGTAACTCTAAATTGTCCCTAGGTGTGAGTGAGAGAGTAAATAGTTGTTTATCTCTATGTGTCCCTGTGATGGACTTGTGACCTGTCCAGGGTGTACCCCGCCTCTCGCACAGTGATTGCTGGACTTGGGCACCGGCGACTCTCGTGACCCAAATCGGAAGAAGCGGGTAAAAAATAATGTATGGATGGATTTGTTAAAACTGTCACTATGTCGTGACAGTATAGTGTAAGACATAATCTGTTAAAAGACTGAGCTCCAAGACTTGAGATCTTGGTCTCGGACCCCAAAAGTCTTGGTCTTGTCTCGGTACACTCTGGTCTTAGTCTTGATTTGGTCTCTGGTTAGGTGGTCTTGGCTATAACGCCAAGATCATTAACATATCATTTACAAGCCCAGTGATTCTTAGTATTTAATGTTATGAGTTTAAAACAGATCAAGATTTACTCTCAGATCTTCTCTGTCCAACAGAGAAACCTCAGCCTGTCCTCTCTGTGTCTCCATCATGGCTGAGTCCTGGAGCCTCAGTGACTCTGAGCTGTCAGATCCATCATCCATCTGCAGGATGGAGGTTCTTCTGGTATCAAGTTGTTCCCAAACCATTGAGCAGCAGTTACAACTATGAGCTGCTGTCTGGTCACTCCAACGGGACTGAACAGAACTCCTACATCATTCATGGACAGAAACACACAGCAGGATATGTGTGCAGAGCAGGAAGACAACCAGAGTATCTCACCGATTACAGTCAACCAAAGTTTGTCTGGTCTGAAGGTCAGTTTTGTTTCTGTGCTCTCAGTGAGATCAAGTTATTGTTTCTTTGACACTCAGTGGTTTGTAATCTGCAAGAAAATTATATTTACAAGCAGTTCTCTTCTTGACAATAAGACCACATTTTGTTAATTTACAGCAAGAACATTTTGTTGGTAAAATAACAGAAAAGCAAAAAATATGAGTTACTTTAGATTCTATTGGTTAGATCTTTGAAACCAGTTTTATTAATTATCATTCTGTATGCAGCAGATTTTAAAAATTATTGTTTAATATTAATCTTTATTGTTTCCATCCCTGGTTCAAGTCTCTTTGTGTTTATCTCCCAGATGTTGATCCAGCAGCGTCTCTCAGTGTGAATCCTGACAGAGTTCAACACTTCAGTTCTCTCTCTGTCTCACTGAGCTGTGAAGGAAACTCTACTGAGTGGAGAGTGAAGAGGTTTACAGATACTGGTCTGTCAGACTGCTCCATGTGGAGAACACGGACTGGATCCTCATGTACCATAAAGCCTTACTGGTCTGGTAGTGGAG